TTATATAATATAAAAATAAATAAATACATGAATTAATATGAAATGTTCAGTTAGCTAGCAGCGCCAGAAACTTTATTAATAATTATAAGTAAATTAAGCTTATGAAAAATGCCTAAAGAAGAGCAGCAGCAGCAGACATTGTTGAATATACATAGTTTGTTGTTTTTGTTTTTTTTTTTCACAAGTACTAAACTTGAGTCTAGTATCATTTCTAACACATTTAACCCATTTGAAGCATTTAGCTCCTATTCCCTAGTCCGTTTACAACTCTCTAAATTAGCACAATTTCTATAACGACAAAGCGAATTGAGTTTTGTTCGTCCATCCGTCTGTCAGTATATATACTTAAAAATAAATTATATATAGTTTTCCTAATGGCACACATAGATAAAAATGTTTTCAACTTCCATAAAATCGATAAATATCTACAATAAGTAATCTCACTCACTCAAGCATATAGAAATCTATAAAAGACCCCAATCCATTGAGCATATATGTATATCTAAACATTTATTATTTAGCTGCAAGTGAAACTCATTTTGAATTTGCTAACTTGGCTGTAAATAAATAATTTAGCTTTTATCTGCATAGCTTAGCTGTAACTTTGGCAGTAAATAATTAATTTAGTTAATAAAGCCTGATTGCACAGACATCAAGAGGCGAAATTGAATTTGATTGGCTCCCAACTCAATTGTCTACAATAGAGAAGTTGGCCATAAGCAAAGTTAATGTTGGTTTCTGAATTACCTGCACGTTGTGAGAGACGCTCGAAATATGCAAATCGAATGACGAATTTATCGCTGCAATTCAGAAATCGCCATTAGCGCTAGCTATAGACCATTGTCAGGCCGCATATATGGGCATGGCCATAGTACGAGTGACATCTAACGGCAATTCCGATCTCACGACTCATGGCCCACGCCAATGAGTCATGGGCATAGCGTCATCCGTCGAGTCTAATTTGGCTATGGAATGAAGCGATGCGTCTGCAAGGTAAAGGGATTACGCAAGCCGAGGTTATCAGAGCTCGATATATAAACAGTTGCCAATTGATAGCGATAGGCAGTTATCTTATCCAAAACCCACACAAAGATAGACAGACAAATTTAAGCTAGACGGCGGGAGAATGAGAGAGAAAGAGAGGGGGAGAGAAGGGGAGTGAGCGCCTGTGGCCAAGACCTTTAACTGAGATTGTGAAATTTCGTTGCCTGAGTCAAGGCCAAAAGCGTCTCAGCCCAGTTGGCACTCCATGCCCAGGCTGCAGTCAATTGGCTCTTGCGTAAGTGGGTCACCGCGAGGGGCGACCCTGACGTTTGCCACATGCGTCAGCTGCCTCTGCCGCTGCCGCTGCCGCTGTTTCTCTCTTTTGGGGCGCATTGTCCTTGGATCGATGTCAGAGCCAGCCATTCAGCCACTCAACAGTCTGCCATATGCCGCCCCATGCTGTCAGCTGCAATTCCAATGCTCAGCAAGGCGACAGGACGTCGCGGCGCCAGCCCCTGCTCCTGCTCCTGCTCCTGCTCCAGCCACTGAATGTGGTCCACCCTGCCCGAATGCTGTAATAGCTTTGCCCTTTGGCAATAACTTGTGCGAGCTCACGCATTTGGGTCTAGACACGCTCCGCTCCGGTCCTGGCGTCACTCAATTGCCATTTACAGTCTCGATTGCTCTTGAATTCCTTGCACTCAACTGTGTCAAGGGATGCAATTCGTCATGCCAAGCTCTGGGCGTCTTATCAGCGCCCAAGTATAATATCTTTTATGACCTTGTAAATATAATTGTCTGAGCTTTTTATAATGCGTGCGCAGCACACGCACTGTTTTCCCTTCACAAATATGTGAGCAGCTCGAGCATTTGAGCCACATTTGGCTTATTTATGGCTTTCATTACGATAAACATGCTTTGGCCCAAGATAATATCTAATGGCCCACCTGCCCGTGGCTCCAGCCAAACATGGTACAATTTTGACATTTGCCCATAAATAGTTGATGCATCAGACATAAATTTGGAGTTCTCTCGCAGATGCGAATACCTCAGATGCGATTAGATGGCACCAACATACATAATATAAAGAAGGCGTCTGTGGGACATATCAGTAAGGTCGGTTCGCAGAGATAAGATGAGCGGCAGGCACGACATTCAATTCATTCAATTTAGTTCAAGATGATGCTCGATGGACACGTATTAAATGTGAGTGCGTGTTTTTGTTATTATTTCATTATCAACGTGGATGATGGGAGCAGTAGTGGTGCAGCGGTGCAATCGATATGTTATTTCGTGGCCTACATATGTATGTTGGTCACACACACACACACACACACACACACGCACATACACACATATATACATGTATTTCTATATGCATGTTTACACAGATTCCATTCGGTTATGGGGTCAGATCGTAAACAAATAAAACGCCATGTCTGTTGTCTCAATGAAATATGCTTATAAATAAATATGAACTGCTTCGCTCGATGCTTGCCAATTCCATCGACAAATTTGGATCTGTCTGTCTGTTGTATGGATAAACCGAATACATATCGCAGTATATACATACATATAGAGACAGTTTATGACAGTCGGCTGCTGGGGTCATAAAAGTGTCGCGGGCCACAGACGGGTTAATCGCGCTTCGTAACGGGAGCATGTCCGGCGCGTGTCAGACCAAATATTTTGCTAACAATTATATGCCACATATACATATAGATAATCGAGAGACGATTCTTAAGCTGAGATCTATAAATGATTGTCAGCGCTTATTGGAGCAGAACAAAAACCCAACTGAAAATCAATTATAATCTTTTCACTGTTTAGCTGTTGCTGAAGCGTGAAGAAGCCTATGCGATAGTCGTGGCAATTTTCGTGCTCGTGTCACGCGCCCTGCTCTAGGCTGCATGCGACTTAGTGCCAAAGGCGTAAATTGTATGCCTCATGTATTTGTCCATGTACATAATGCGATTCCACGAATTTGCATAACGTCGGAATTTAAACAAAACAAAATGAAATAAAAAAGAAAAGAAAACGAAATTAAATTGAAATCAATTGATTTGGCGGTGGCAAAGGCAATACGGCAATGGGCAACATTTCTATATATCCATATGACTATATGCATACATATATATAGATAGATATGATGTATACATGTGTTTCTACGTAAACCCCTGACAGTGAACTGGGAAATGTGATTTGCACACGGATCAGGAAAAGGCGTGGCTTCTGTTTGATCAAATGCCGGCAATCGAATCAAAATGAGTCAAAATGAATAATTTTGCATGCGCGCATGGAATTTTCATAAATATTCGAGAAATCAATTGCAGACCAAAGCTGGCAATCAATATGTATTTAATTGAAGCAGTTTTATGCTTCAAGCATTTCAAATGCTAAAAATATATAATATTCTATATACATATATATATTTTTTTTTAAATTTTATTACTAATATAATCGATCAGCTAATAATTTTTGCCTCTAAATATATTATATATCCCATTTCAGATTTAATTCGAAAATTTTATTATTGCTTGCAATATAAGCTGACAAACCTTATCAGGAATATTCCTAAATAAAAATACATGATTTTATTATGCACATTCCTTAATTATATGCATAGAATATTAAAATCACTTTTCTAGGAAATGCAAAATTTCTTAGAAATGATTTCAATATAAGACCTGAATTCTTAGTCTGACATAATTATTTTGATAATAATATAGAAAATCTTTTAATATTTTAAGAAATTGGAGTTTTTTGAGCGATGAAGTAATCAAGTAGAAAAGTTTTACTTGCAAGCTAAAAACAATGTGCACCAAAATATAAGTTCAACTTTCTTACAGCTCCCTGGAGAGATGTGCAATACGAATTTTTATGATAAATTGCGAAACCCATTGAGCAATTTAATAGCTATGATTTTTTTTGCAGTTTGGGCCTTTACTCTGTCTTATTTATTATATTGTATTTATTGAGGCATGCAAATTTAAATGAGACTGAGCACTAACTTCTTATCGAATTTTGTAATGGACCCAAAATTCAATGAATATTAAGATTGAGATTAATATATATTTATTTATTTAAGGTATACACCTTAATT